GGTGGTAGCGGCGCTGCACCTAGTGACATCATGCCATCAGCCTTGCCAAGTCTTCATCCCGTCAGGGCTATTCAGTAAAACACAACTAATTATTCTGCCAGATCCTGGACCAGATGACAAATTGATTCACGGTACTAACTAAAAGAAGGGAAGGAGGAGAAATTGCACCATTTCCTATGACTGAAACTACATTAACCCGTTACCCCAAGGAAAACTTTGTCAAAAGTTTTTATTGAGGCAGTTGAGCTGTACGCCAGACGGCTGAAGTGCATTGCCAGGAGACCCCGGTGTTGTGCTATGAAAGTTCATATGCAGAGCACAGTTTGCATTCGATACCCATCAGCGTTCAGAGGAGAAAGATCTTTTTTCAGAACATCTGCAGAGTATCTCATATGTCAGAGGACTTAAAATTGTTATCAGAAACTGCTAATTAAAACTTAACAAAATCAAATACCTGTTTTTCTAAGCTGATCTGAGGACGCTGCAAACTAAAAGTAACACCAGGGAGACCGCTGGAAATGAAAGCTTTTACTCAATCTGTCAGTCAACTCACAAGGGAAACTTTTCCTGGATACTGCAAGAAGTCTGTAATTACATCATCATGGCAAGGGCACACCAGTATGTTGCTTATTAATCATTTCCAGGAAGAAGATTATCAGAAAGCCATTCTTAATAGCACCACTGCCCGGCAATGCAGGCTCCCTTGCTCACTGCAGGGTGGGTACTTCAGGCTTCCCTCGCGTGAATTTCCTCTTTGAGCAAATTTCAATCCCTGCCAGAAGCCTGTGATGCAAACGCACCTTTTCACACGTTCTTCTGACAAAACACTAGACTCACACAACACCCTACAGCTATAACAAACTCTCGAACTCTTATGAAACCATTCTTCTCTGGTAGGAGTGACAGATGCACCCCACCCAAAACAGCAAGTGCTCCTGGATTTTGCTCCAAAGACACGTGAGATACCATCTCTCCACCGGACGTAACCCCAGGGGGAACACCAAGGTTCAGCATTGCCCAAGCTGCCCTGCACTTGATCCTTAAATGAAGTGACCAAGACTTGTTCACCAGACACGTATGACCAAAGCATCATCCCTTTCAAAAACTTGGACAACAGTGAAAGGGACAGGGAGAGATGGAGGGGAAGAGGACAGGAGGGCAAGTAAGACTGTCATATCTATCTGGAACCCTTAAGCATGTATTTGAGAGGCTAGACCTCCTCCCTCCACTACATGAAGTAACTGAGAAGAGCAAGGAAACAAAGACAAGCAAGAAGCAAAGCATGTTGGAAAAGAGGAGAAGGAGATATACACCATGTAGGTAATATCGTGGATGAGGTATTATTCTTGTGAATCATGATCCAGAAGAATAATACCCTAAATGGAAGCTATGATACACATAAGCGGGATGAAATATAGCAGACTGTTACAACAGCGCACAGTAAAGTCCACAAGCGAATGTCAGAGCCCTCCCAGCTACCTTTGATTCAATGAGTCCTGTGATCTGCTGCTCCGTTCCTCCAAGGGCTACTGATGCAATGTGCCAGATTCCATGTTTCTTTCCAACTGTTCTGAGTCTCCTGCATCTGATCTCAAAGAAGGGAGCAGAAACAGCTGGAAGAGAGAAACCAGAATGGCATAGTCCAGCAGCAACCCTTGGAAGAACAAACAACGACAGCCTTGTGAGAGGTACCATTGTCCCCCAGCACATTTGTTTGCATGTGGACATGTATCCACATGTCTTCTAGGAGAAGAAACACGTGTCGCTAATGCGTCAGCTCTGGCCGGTCACAGAGCACCAGAGTGTCTTCTGACTTAGTGCGATCAGTGCAAGCCGAACAGACCGACAGCTCAATGGTACGGCCGCGATCCGCAGTCATGGGTGCCAAACGAGTCTCGCGTGCTAAATGCAGTTTAAGTTTGGCACCACACTTCTCCTCCAGTGGTACCTTTATTCCCTGAGCAACTCCACCTACTTTGCAGCACATGAGCGGCTTGCAGCCCACGCAAGGGAGGCCAGTCAAGGTCTACTCTGTTTAGGCTTTAAAGCTCCTGTAGATCTAGCTGCAGGCCAAAGGAGGAGGGCAAAACAGCAGGTGAAACAGGAGACCGAAGAAATAAGCTTCTTCAGAGAGAACTTAGGTATTTGCTGCCAAAGGAGAGGATTAGTTGTGAAAATCAGGAAGTCAACGAAGCAGAGAGCAGCAGGAGGTTGCTGCAGATAATAGGGACAGTAGGAGCAAGGCTATAGCTCACCAAGGCATGCGAAGAAGGGGAGATAAAAAGGCTTGTGCTCTTTCATATGTGCAAAGACCAGAAAGAGGGAGCGAGGAGGTCAGGGAGATGGTGCTGGTGGAGGAAGGGCCACGAGTTAAAAAAAGCCTTTGAAAATGAACCATAGAAAAGTGATTAATAAGGGAAGAACTGTCAGGGTTGGTGTTAGGACCTTCTCATTTCCACTAGAAAGAAATAAGACGTTGCAACTCACAACCAGATTTGGGGAGGAAAGACCAGGAGCACAGCAAGACCAACACAGAAGAAAGTAATTTAAAGGACAGAAACAGAATTTCAGACAGAGAGCAAATCAGATTAGGATGGTTAGGAATTACACGCGGGAGAGGACAGAAAGCAAGTTTAAAGGCTCATGGGATATTTAAGGCAAGACAGCCCAAAGGATCTCTTGCCAGCCTTACAGCAGGGATGAAATGGAAACCGTAACACTTTTCCTGACCGCAACTTCCTTATAACCGATTACTAGAAAGCACAGGCGCACCACGTCTCTCCAGGACAGCAGTACCACCGCCAGCCCGGCCCTAGTGCACGTGGTGCCATTTCTAGAGGGATCCCTCAACTCCACATCCCTTCTGCCCCACACAAACCTACTGATTACTACAAATCAGTTCCCTTTCGTAAGTGCCAAGTCATCAAGGGCAGTAACAAAATGAGTACCTGGAGTATCGCACGTCTGCCTGTCCCCTGAAGAGCTAGTTGGAGGTGTCCGGTGTCGGTAGACTAGATGTGGTTTATTGTGCTCTTCTTCATACTCCTGTTCTTCGAGCGATAGCAGCGGCTCTACGAAATAGTCCCCATCATCAGATTTGAATGTGCCTAGCTGAGAGGGACCAGAGAGGAACAGGCAGTCAGCGTCGGGCGATGGCAAACCACGGAGCAGGACTACCCAACAAAATGAGTGGTTAACGAGGGCAGTGCACGAATGCCCGGTTCTGCAGCGACCCCTACGAAGGCAGGGGCTGGAGCTCCAGCTCCCGTCACACCACTTGCACCCACACCGGGCTGCACTGCTCCCTGCAGTCATCCTGCTGGAACGTACAGAAAGCAAATTACTAATCCATAGGCAGGGAGTACGAGAGGGGGATGTCTGCCAGACCCCATCCCTATACCAGTGACATTTACCAAGCCACCCCTGCCAAAGGGGAGATGGTGCTGCAGCATGCTGGAGGCCTCAGTGCAACCCCATCATTTTGTGCTGGTTTTCATACAGCAGCTCTCCCTGAAACAAGCTTTAAACCCATGTGTAAGGACCAGAGGGAGATGTCCAGCCAGTGAAATCCCTGCTTACGAGAAGACACCGACACTCCTAGTTGCACGTAACTATAATTTGGCGGGTAAATAAAAGATATCCAAGACAAAAATCATCCTGCAGCCATGCTAGACTGGGAAGCATGACCAGTAACCAGGAGGGAGGCCTGCCTGGCCACACACACGTGCACTAGCCTGGGTGAACACGCTCACCCAGGAGAGCTCCTGGACCAGATGGAGGCCAGCAGAGACCTCACAGGGAAGCACCCGGAACAGGCACCTCGGGGTGCTGGAAGGCACCAGGACAGATGGAAAGGTCAGCCCTGCTCCTCCCTTTGCCAATATCCCCCTGCACAGAAGGGCACCAGGATGGCAGGGAGGGCAGCCGGG